GAAGCCATGATCAAGAGCTTCAAAATGATATATTTGCGGCTTGGATTGAACAAAAAAAGATCGCGATAGCTTCACTTTTGTTAGCGGGTGCCGGAAACGAGAAGGTTCTGTGGGGTGGCCCAAGACAGGGGGTGGCCCAACTCGGGGTGGGTCGACTTATAGATTAATATACTCTGATAAAAATGCTATCGCGCTTACGATGCAGTGTTCGCGAGGGTAAATCCACTGAAACTAAAATTCGCTACGTCATGGATCCAGCGGAGCACCCCAGTGTAATTGCCTGTCGCGTCATATAGAGGTCAAATTGCATGGTGTAGCGGAAGATGGTCTTTCTACCTAGGCAGGTGCCCGCAGGGTTGGGTCAGCCGGCGGGTCGGGCAGAATCCCTCGCCTACCGTCATGAATCACGGCCCGTGAGCCGTGATATTGCCACACGGAGCTGTCACCAAGCATTGGCTTAGGAACGTTCTTTCACATTCTTGGGCCTTCTATTGCCACGTTTTAGGTATATAAATAGGAGCAGGCAGTAGGTGGTGGGTGGGGGGGTGGTAAAGTCGTTATTCGAGAAGTTTCGCAACGGCGGGCCCGTCCCCATCCTTCGACGGCAGTTTAACGACGGCCTCGTGCCGACAGCAACTTGACGACGGCCTCGTGCCTGTTATACGCGGCCCACGACAGCGGCGTCATCCCGTATTCGTTATCCTTCGAGTCGACATCAACTTTGCCCGTGGCGAGCAGCAGCTTGACGACGGCTTCGTGCCCGTTCCCCGCGGCACACGACAGCGGCGTCTGCCCGTCCTTATGCTTCGAGTCGACGTCGATTTTGCCCGTGGCGAGCAGCAGCCCAACGACGGCCTCGTGCCCGTTATACGCGGCCCACGACAGCGGCGTCATCCCGTATTCGTTATCCTTCGAGTCGACATCAACTTTGCCCGTGGCGAGCAGCAGCTTAACGACGGCCTCGTGCCCGTTATCCGCGGCACACGACAGCGGCGTCCGCCCGTCCTTATCCTCCGAGTCGACACCGACTCCGCCCGTGGCGAGCAGCAGCTTAACGACGGCCTCGTGCCCCTTATGCGCGGCCCACCACAGCGGCGTCTGCCCGTCCTTATCCTTCGAGTCGACATCGACTTTGCCCGTGGCGAGCAGCAGCTTAACGACGGCCTCGTGCCCCTTTCGCGCGGCCAACCACAGCGGCGTCCGCCCGTCTTTATCCTTCGAGTCGACGTCAACTTTGCCCGTGGCGAGCAGCAGTTTAACGACGGCCTCGTGCCCGTTATACGCGGCACACCACAGCGGCGTCCGCCCGTCCTTATCCTTCGAGTCGACATCGACTTTGCCCGTGGCGAGCAGCAGCTTAACGACGGCCTCGCGCCCCACCCCGCGGCATACGACAGCGGCGTCCGCCCGTCCCCATCCTTCGAATCGACGTCGATATCGGTGCCAATTTGGTCTGCCCTTTGCAAGATGACTTTTAACAGCCCTACCACCTGGTCCCTCGATGCAACGTGTACCAGGCTGGTCCCTTTTGGTGGACAATCCCCGGAATATCCCTCTAATACCCCGTAAATACGAACCCATAGTTCCACGAGAGCGGTTGATGGCCAAGCAAAACATTCCAAGATATCCTCTTGACGGACACCCCTAACGTCGCTTTGTCTCGCGTGCGCCACCCACGAGGTCGTGGCGTAATGCAGGAAAGGAAAATCGCGACGCTCGTAGTTTGTTGACTGACCGATCTCCTTCATAGCCAAGTAGCGTATGCAGGTCTTGAACAGCCGGTGGTGTGCCATTCCGATTGTCGCATCGGCTGAAGTCGAGTTGCCGTCCGCGGAAAGGCCCTTTTCGACGAAGTCCTTAACGGACTGGTGGATGAACTGGACAACCTGCGCATCGGATGACGGCACGATTTCTGCGAGACCGCGGCTCAGAGACTTGATTCTTCTGTCCATTCTGTCGTTGGTGATGAAGTCATCCGACCGCCAGCATTCGTCGAGTGACTTGTGAGTGCCGTCAGGATCAACCGCCATGGCCCATGGCAGCTCGTCCGTTGTCAAAGGCCTCGCGGAGAGACCAATCCATTGGATCAGGTTCAGGGAGTCGGGTGCCATGCCTTCGATAAGTTTGCGGTATAGCTCATCGAGAGCTGGAGGGGTAGACCGGATTGCCGCTTCGATCGCCCCCGGTCCTTTACCCTCGCGGTCAAGGTCCAGAACTTGCCTCACCACGAGCCGCGCCCACATGAAGACGCCCTGTGCGTGGTTTGTGATCAAAGCGTGAATCGTAGATAACGTTTGTTTGTTGAATGTGGAGAGCCGATCTCGCACGTAGGCCGAAATATCATTTCGGTTTTCGTCCTCGAGGCATACTTCGAACGCACCGTCCAGGGCCAAAATCGGGTAATGACGACAAGTGAAGCAGACGCGAAACTGTAAGCCGAGGGACGGGCGGTTCCGGAGCAAGGACTCGAACCACTCGGCCAGGTCGACCGCGTTCTGTTCGCCACACTCGTCTAGCGCGTCGACAAACAACCAGACTGGGCGAGTCTTGAGGACGTTCGGAAGAAATAGCTCGAAGAAGCGCTGCAGTTGTTTCTGATGCCACTGCCACTTTTCACCAGATTGACCCATTTCCTTGCGGTTTTTGTCGAAGGTGTCGACAAGACCGGGCGCTGCGTCGGGTACCTGGCTGAGAACCTGATGAAGAAGTGACCTGTAGAGGCCAAACGGGGTCCTTTCGAGTTCATCACCGCGATCGTGGAAGAAGAACGAGAGAACGAGGGTGCTCTCTCCGGCACTGGATACGACTGCCTTGTCGAGGACGTGTTTTAGCAATGTCGATTTCCCGGAGCCCGGCTTTCCCTTGATCCAGAGCAGGCTTCGATCGCAAGCGGCCCAGCTCCGATACTTTTCGTGCCCAAGCAGCCACTCGCACGTTCCCGTGACGGCGCCGTCAATGTCATGAGAGCGATTTTCCATTTGCAGAAAGGCCAGCGATGCCAAGCAATCTTGCAACGGCTGTGGAGGTTCATGTGTGTCTGAGCGATACGGTTAGACTTGAAAAGTGAAAATAAGTCAATGCTGATTACGATGGGAAATGGAAACTAACATGGTGCATTGACATATGTTCGCTGGTCTATTAATCTAGTTAGCTTCCTTGCCTGCCTTTTAGTTTAAAGTCTTCGTCATTTGAAAATTTAGGTTTTTGGGGCATGTCCCACGGAGAGTGGTAGTTCGACGGATTGAGCAACTGATAATTCCTAAACAAGATTTAAACTACTTGCCGATATTGAAATTGCCACCCACATCGTGTACCATGGCCACTATCCCATCCCTGTTTTTAACATTGTGGCTATTGGTATTGTGGCTATTGGTCGTGGCGTTGTGGCTGTTGGTCGTGGCGTTGTGGCTGTTGGTCGTGGTGCTGTTGCGGCCCCCCGGTTCAAACCTCCCTTGTTTGACGCCGCCTGACACCTCGTATCGGTCAAGTATCGCCGCAGCCACCGAAGCCGCCGTTGCCGCCGCGAAGTCCTGCCATTCCTTGTTTTTATGGCTATCGGCGTAGTCGCAAATGCCCTTGACAACGATACAGGGGACCTCCTTCCACGCCCCGGCTCCTTCCATTTCGAAGGCGATCACGTCGTGCTCCTTGGCAACCGCGTCGCGGTGTTTGCCCGACTTCATAACCGCGTTGCCGCAGGCCACCCTGCCCATGAAGATTTGTGGGACGCGCTCCACCGGGCGCTCCTGCTGCCGGTTCTCTCTCGGGGCACAGAGGCGCGTCTTGCACCCAACGTCGTCGCAAGAGAGTTTGGAGGCCTGCTCACAAAAGCGCGGGGGATCCTCGTCACAATCCGCACAATCTTCGTCCCGATGGATGTGGTTGTACTTCGCAGGGAACATCCTATCGGTAGCGTCGGTCGGAGGGCTATAGCTGGTCCCCCACTCCTTGTCGGCGGCAGTGGCGGCAGCTTGCAGAGTTACCAGATTCGCCCTTGCCTTTTTCTGCAGGCGGTCCAGCTCGTCCTTGCCTTCCAAAAGCTCGAGCAGTCCGCGGATATCGTTATTGGTTTGCCCCAATGTGTCCTCGGTGGACCTGACGACGAACTTGTCGGGGTATTGCCTGCCGAAATCATGGTTGACGATGCTTTTGCTGACAATTACGTCACCCAAAAAGGCGTTCCGACCGCGGATCTGGGGCAGGCCTCCGCAAACGCCGACGATTAGGGCAAGTTTGATGTTGGCATAGCTCGACTGCAAGCTCCTTGCGCCTGCTGCCGATGCCTCCATCCCCATGCCTGGGAGTAGGAGAAGTACGACGGCATGGTTTCCGATGCGGCCCGTCCTGTATGTGTTGGAGTCGCCGGTTTCCCGTCCGTACTTTTTCTCGTAAATCTCGTCGAAAAGGAGCCTTACAGCGTCCGATTCGATGCGCAACGCACAGATGATGGCTAGATAAAAGCCGTTGCGGTCGGTCGGTGGCAACATGGTGAATGGCAATAGGAGAGCCTTAAGACGGAGGAGGTAAGAGGGTACAAAAAAGAAAAGATGTGACTAAGGAGAAGCGGCAAATATGCTATGATCGAGTTTTTTGTTTTGGGTAAGGCAGCATCAGCAGGGTAGGAGGAATCGAATGGCGCACAAAGCCGGAAAATGTATAGGCTAAAAATAGTGCTAGCATAGAACGAGCAGGCCAGAGTTTGAACGGCGGGACAAGAGGCGCACGGAATGCGGACGTAAAGGACGAAGAAGAGGTAAAAGGGGGAGGAGATGAACAGGAAGAACAGGAAATCGGATAGGAAGGCAGGCTCTGTTTAGTCCCCGAGGGCGCAGCTTTAGTCAGGCTGGAACACGGAAGCTCTGTTCAGTGGTCGGGCCGGAACACCGAACTCTGGTTGCGAATCGGAAGGGCTGCAGACTACGGGCGCGCCGATATTGCCCTGCGAATCCATTGGAGTAACAGCGTTCCAGCGTTCCAGCGTTCCTGTGGGTGTGGCACAACAGGTCACACGCAAGTTTGCGGATAAGGGAACCTCTAGCCAGACTTAGCTCGCACATTTCGAACCAAAAAGGGAAGACACCGCCGAAGCGGGCTGTGGCCAGCTGAATGCCGCAAAGCCTTGAGGCTGTAGTGGCTCCTGCCAAAACACATCCACAGCCAATCATTTCCACGTCGCAGCACTGAAAGTCGTGTCCCAACACGCGACGATTGGCCAGCGGCGCAAAAAGCGGTAAATTGACGAAAATGTCTCGGCATGTCTTGTCCAATCCAGCGCGCAGACCTTGGAGCGCGTTGCGCCCAGAACGAACCAATAACGATTTGTCGTCGCGTTTTAACGGCATTGACGCGTTGATTCGCATGTTATCGAAGAAGTGTAAAGACAACAGAGCCAAGTGTTTATCTATTCGAGCTAACAATTATACATAGTCGCCTCCATTTTCCATTCGCCTCCCGAATGACCATGGCGACGACAATGTGGATGTGACGGTCCCGCCATACGTCCAGTGGCACCGCCACAGATGTAAGGCATATGTGGGACAGATACAGGCATGCAAGCCACACGGGTCGCGCCAGCGTGACCTGCGCCTTTTCCTTCCCCCTCCTTAGTGTGGAATCTTAGTTCATAGCGCCAATGCAAGGCCTTCGTGCCTTTATTGTTAAGGCCGCAATAGTTACTAGTGAAAGGAGGGTTGCTCCGCAACTCTCGGCGCGGCCCACGGGTTTGTAGGAGCGGTGGCACAGCCACTTTAAGGGTGCACCGCCACGGCCGCCGGCCGTGGCTAACCGTGTGGACCTGGCCCGCTAACATAGCGGACAAGGGGCCTGGCGGAGATGGGGTGCGTCACGATCAGGGAGCGTAAGCTTCGCAGCCAGGTTGTTATGGAGTGGCGCGCCTTGCAGGCGGCTGCTCCACTCTGGAGCAGGAGGATCACGTGACCCCCGAATCGCAAGCAGAAAACTGCGACGCGATGGCGGTGCTTCGCACCTTCGTCACTTCTAAACACTACTTTTAGATAGTCGCTTTTTATGTGTTAACTATCGCAGGTTGTCTCTTTGTTTTCCGTGATTCCGTAACACAGGTGCAATTGATGCTATGGACTGAAAACTCTTCTATGGGGAGGAAAAAGCGGTGCGGCGTTTTATCGCACGGGCTATTTTGCGGCGCGTGCTTACGTGGATGCTTGCGGCGTGCGGTGGACTGCCCTGGGCCGTCATAGGGTGCTTTGACTTAAGCCAGAAGCTGACTTAGAAGCGCCATAAAAAGCTTTTACAAAACGCTGCAACTGGCTTTAGTTTAAATATTTCCACGGCCCTAACTTTTCCAAAGGCGACGGAAACCAAAAACGCTGACGCCGCCGCCATCTTGGCTTCAAATGGCTAGAGTGTGCATTTTCTTAATATCACACCGGGCCTGTTGTGGCGTGGCGCCTGGGGAGTCGCTGAGCCACTGTGGCGATCGATCGAACAGGGGCCGTGCACTGAACCCACGGTTGGAGAAAACGTTGCACGTGGGAATGGGCGCAACGCACCCAATCCCTCCTTTCGAAAAATCCGGGTTTAGGTTCCCCGCACGGTTTTGGGCCTAGTCCATGGGGAGGGGCTAGGAAAGCTGCATTAGAATGATCGGCACTGAGGTCGCGTTAAAAGTGGAACCAAAGCCAATTTTTGCACCCCTAGCCGAATTGAAAAGCCAGTCCATGCTTTTTGTGAGCTCGAAATATTGCTAGCTGTAACAGGTTCGGCAGAGTGAAGCCCTCCCCAACTCAACCAAAAGGACAACAATAACAAATCTGGCAATTTGTTTAGAGTTGGAGGGCTATAATGGCTATGGCGTTGTGCCACAGCGCCGTGCTATGACACTGGCAAAGCAACCTGGTCGTGGAGGGGCGTGTTACGGTTGAGATCTCTACGGCTTAAAGGCTCGAGGAAATACGTCAATTTAGCTAAAAGAACAAAGTAGTGGAAAAGTCAACAAGTGGTGCGGAGCACCCAGATGCGTGCGATCCGTTTTGTGTGTACGCGTGCACGGTTGCACGCGAGGTCACGTGATCCGGGCTCCGTGGGGCGACTGCCCGTGAGGGCACGCCGCGCCATAACAGGGCGTGCAAATATAGGAGGGCTTGTCAGATACGAGGGTACTCGATGGTACTGTGTAGAAGGTTCTGGAAGATTCTAGGTGGAGCATGAACATGGGCACCCCGGTGCACTGACCACATACTCTGTGTATATCAACAAGAACGATCATCCTCTTCGAAGGACAGAGGACAGAAAAAAAGAGAACAATGCATTTTTCCCAATTTTCATGGATGGCTAGAGACAGTGTTTTCTGACAGGGCTGGGCGAAGTTACATTACACCCCTCAAGCTCCTGGGGTGTGCAATAACGTGGCTGAACAGCCACTTTTTGCTTTGTTGCATGTTGTGACAATCTGGGTCAAGACCCATAGGCCAAGACCCACGGACCAGGACCCACACGGTGGACCGTCGTGAAACGCGCGCTTGACACCAAAATCCCTGCTTTTCCTTCCCTTCTCCCTCTGAGTAGAATTTTCGTTCGTAGCGCCAATCTGAGGGGAAAAGGAAAAAAAGAGGGAATTCCGGTGTTTGGCGTGCCTCGGCGTGACGCTGGTTCACCGTGTGGGTCCTGGTCTGTAGGTCAAGGTTTGTGGGCCTTGCCCCGAATCGTCACACCACTGGATCTGGTGGATGGGGGAAAACCTCATTTGCGCCCTTGGCATTCAGGACCAAGCGGTAGCCGTCAAACCTTTGATGTTAGCAATTGTGTAGAGATAGAAGCAATTGTGCGTTTTTACCGCGAACAGTTTTAATTTAATCTCCCATCCACATTGTTTTAATAAAGGATGATGTTTCTAGTTCTTGACCCCTCGCCACCCTTTTTTTGTTTCGACTTGCTGTCAGCACCTTTAAAATCGACAAGATCGCATTACTCAAGCAGGTCAAAAAGCTCCGAATCGCTAGAGATGAGGCATTCATCGAGCCAACCATTAAAGCCACCGACAACCAAGGCTACATTGAGCGAGCTGGACGTGATAGAGATACTACGCAATCCAAGGCTAAGACACGACATCAACTTCGACCCCTATCTCCAATTTCGGCCGAATCTCGATGGCGGAAAGGGGGAGGAGAAAGCAGCAAATGGCAGATGAGTTCTGGGCTAGCCTAACCGGCCAGCTAGGGCTGTTCATGAAGACCGGGGAAGGTTTCTCGAGCATACGAAGGAACTTGGAACTGGTGGCTGCCCACCTGCTGAAAGCGGT